CTTCCATTCGTTGGGCCCAATACGTTCAGCAAGTTTGCTCAGTTGCAATTCTTTAAATGTAGGAGTCAAAAACACCAAGAATCGATGTTAGTTGGGTCAACTTCTGACTTGCCATCTGTTGAGCGTTTCATACAAAATATAATAAATTGGTCTCATGCTTATTTTCGTTTGCAACTTGTATTTTACCAGCGTTTTGAGCACACGAAGTACCATTGATGAGGCATATTAGGAATATTTCCCACCTAATTTATGCTATAGGTAGCAATAATTCTAAAGACAATGAAGTTCCTCGAGTCATCCTTTTTGACTTAGACATCGAATAAGAAACAGTAACACGTAAAGGGGGGGAAATATCATTTTTTTTTAGTTCTTTACCACACAGTCCAGAATGTAAACAAGCCTACGATATACTCATAAATGAGTATTGAAAGTCATGCTGACAATTTGGCATGAATATTGATGCGTCGTTAAGCCAAAAGAGTAAACTTTCACCCTATGTCAGTGAAAATGCACTTCTGGTGACTGAAAATCAGAACAAGACGAACTTGTGTGAAATTTCCTCAGCCGAATAGATCGAGATTTCACTGGAAGTGGTTCTTTTTCGATTTTTTTTTTCAATTTAAATTGAGTAATTTTCAGTCTACATTATCTGGTCCTTAATTTCAATCCCTGGAAATTACAGATTATGTGCCTGTTTGTTTCACAAGGATCTTGATCGGGATCAGGATCCCAGAGCTGGTTCGCACCATAAATTAAGCGGGCTCTAGTGTCAGTGAACCAACGAGAGATCACTGATCCTGATCTGGATCCACATGAAACGAACAGATCCCAAGATTACAAAATCGATGAATGGAACTCTTGTCACACACATACCAACCTGACACTTCCTTGTCGCGTTCTCCCTCCGCCATGTTTTAACTGCCCTGCGTTTCTACACTCTGTCCAAAACAAATTCAGAGCTTTTGCTTTTAAATATTTAACCCATTGTATACAGATCAAAGGAAGGAAAGCTTGATTTGCACGTATTCAAGCAGATACAGAGTGAACACATTAAAAGTGGGATGCTGCATTTCCATTCCCAATTTTTTAAAACACCCTCATTTAGATGTTATGGTTTTTTTTCCTTTTTAGAAGCTGTTCTGTCTCAGTTGGTTGATAAATAGGGTACTGGCTGCAGGTAGTAGATAAAAATTTTACATTGACGATTTAGGAATGTCTGGTGTCATGTCCACAGGGATGTACTTTCCCCACAATCCTCCCCAATAATCACAATTTTAGCGCGATCAAGGGAACAAAATCAAAATTTTCATATCTGACAAAAAACAAACAAAGTGAAAAAAAATGTTGCCTATATATGTTCTGTGAGACTGACTGAGAATCTGACTCCAGTTTCCTGAAGTTTTCCCCGATGAAAAGCGTCCCTCTTTGGGTAATATCGACAGTAAAATGATCAAAAGTGGCTTTGACAACACATGACCCAGAGTTCTGGTCAATGTGACCATGGGATTTTAGAGCGTAGCCCTGTATGTAAGGTTTATCAACGCCATTGTCAGTCTAACCCGTCTTTGATGAAAACCCAATCAGATTGGGACACAAAAACCTCAATGGGCAGTTGAAATTGTTCTAACAACATTGAAATGGTTTGCCCGTTCAACATTGAAACAGCGTTGCCACGGCCCCCAAATCCATGCACCCCGGTGGACAGAAACAGGCAGACAAATGAACGATAAAGCAGGTAATTTGCAACATAAGCATAACCACTTTGAATTCACCAAGATGGCAGCTTGTTGAGAGAAGTGATTCATTGCAACTCATCAAACTTTTCCGGACAGAAGCAACGGACACAAAACTGCTTCACCCATGGAGTTCTTAAAAAATTTTTAGGGACCGTTATACTTAAGAAAAGCCTGGGCCATGCAGGCTTACGTTATTAACAGACTTACCTTGAGCTCAGACGGAATCATAGGTAGGAGTCAGTTGGCAAAACCTATCCTTCATATCATATAGTTAGAGCCGCTGAATGTAAGGTCTTGTGGCAATATGGCGCATGTTACATTACTTCCTCAATGACGTTGAGTAATATCACGAAGGGGTTTTTTTTTACGCGTTACTGAGCATAGCTCAATGCCAGGTGAATCGGCAACGGGCCACTGCTATCGAGTGCTATGTGCATGTATACCTAATGTGTTCCTAGTGGCATTCCATTGAAATGGCAAAAGTTTTCTGATATAAACATACACTGTAAATAACTCCGCATTTTGTGGAAATGTTATCCAATGAATAAATTAATGATATACATGTATCCCGTCATGCTGTGTTTCCAGTCTCATTCGTGCGACACTAGCAGCCTGCTAATAGAAAGGTACCCTGGCTTTGTGTGGGACAACTCAAACAGAATGAGAAATGTGTGTTTCCCAACACATGACATTTGTATTTGTCAATGTCCCGGCTGCACCCTCCCTTGCCCGATCTGCATAGACCGTGAGCTTCCGTACACAGCCAGCGTAGAGCCAACCTTGACTCCCCCATGGCTGTGTAAAAAGCAGACTGTACGTGGGCTGTGAATTTTAAACCGAGCTCCACTGACTCTCTTTGAAATGAAAATCCATGAATCGGGCGCCTGGGTTCATGTTTTGTTCAGCGGCACTCAATTGCACATAGGCCTACAGCAGAAACTGACGTCAGGAATCCCTCCCTTGAAAAATTGTTGCCCATTATTAATTTTAGAATAGAAAGCTGAGCATTAAATGCCTAACTATGTTCCTGTTTCACTTTTGGCCCGAGTAAGCACAAATGTTTCTTGGGTACATTTGTGTGACTGTCGTATTGTTTTTGCTCTCCATCCATGTTATTTATCGACGTTCTTTTATACATGGGAGTAAAGTGGCAAACCTCCATGCAGACTAAACATTGAAATTAGATAAACTTATAAAACGCCTCTTTTTCTTGTAACAAAAAGTGTCATCATATGCTGCTCTAATGACACTGCAACGGATCATTTAGCCAACGTGCGCAGTGCGAATAATTTCCCTTTTATGCTACCCCTAGCGCTCCTTCAGATTAACTTAAAACCAATTTTTGTAGGCACAGGAAGTCAAAAAAGAATTCATAAAGTTGTATCTTGCCTGAAGAGATATTACTATTTTAATGGTCATGTTTGCAATAAATGTGTTTGTACGGATCAACAGAGTGAAGTGCACAACCATCAACATTGTGTCGATGTGCTGGTCAAAACTAAACTATTGGTGACTATCAAAAAGAAAGTTAAAACCAACGTTGGCCAGAGTAAGACAGGTCAAATGTCGATCAATTGAGCATAGATCATCCCGACTGGATTTGTGTTACATTTAGAAATGTCCACCGCAACACTGGACGGACGTTGTAAAAGTGCACTGGGTAAGAACCGAAGAGCCTTGTTGGACACAAAGCGGAGACCAAACTGATCTGCACCCCGTCTCCCGCAGCTTCAAGTGCGCTTGCGCATTAACCTAAAAAGTTGGTACACCGAAAAATCTTGACAATTGCACCGGCTATAAAAATTGCCAGCCCGGGGTCAAATCTTACCGCAGGACTGTGCCAATGCTTTACAATTCATTTTTTTTTAATTTGAACGGAGACGGGCGGTTTGTTGCATGACGCATTTCGATCAAACGTATGCTAACATTTAATCTAACCAAAGCAAGCGGGGTGACACAACAGAACATATTGGCTGGACACTACCCAATTTCAACCAATTACAGTTTTCAACTTTATTCAAGTAGAAATCAAACCAAAACCTTTTTTTCTAGTCAGGACCTCCTGGGAGTGCAACGTCCGATTTATTTTTGGAACACATTGATATAAAGTAGTTACACGCTGTATTCAGTGCGGTTCTGGGCTTTTGATTCTCTTTTGAGATCCGGTTGAAAACTATTTTTTTTACTCTCTACTGCAAATTATTTCCTTAGGTTCAATATATCACCCATCTGGAATCCTATTGTTCCTTTAACATCTGCACAACATTAAGAATACACTACTTTTACAAACCAGAAAAAAATTAATGTTTACATGCTATAATGAACACCTTCAAAATGTTTGACATGTGACGTGTAGTTTTTATTTCAAGGTAATATTCACTGACGTCGATTGGTGTTGGCTGAGGGGCGCAGCTGGTCTCCTTCTTGTTAAGTACCAACGATCAGATCTCAATGACAGACCTGCTAAAGGCCCCCGTCCAGATTTCCTCTTCTGTGTAGTGTGTACAGATCGACGCCTATGGAGTTAGGCATCGAACATTTGATTTTCCTTATTTCGTAATAATGCTAAATTACGTTAAGATTTCGACTTATTAAGACTCAGCTGCATATACAGGAACTGACACGATAACAGATGAGAATACCAGAGCTGTACAGAGGAGTCCATCACAAACTGAAAGGCCAGTCGGAAGCATGCTCAGGATAACCACAAGGGTGCTTTAGTAAAGTTCATTAAAATTGCCTGTTACTTTAGTACAAACTGATGCCTTTGAATCGACTGACAGGGACTCTGCGCGGACTCGACTGTAGCTTAAGAAAAAAATATTATGGGCAAGCCACAATCTGGTATTACCTCTGCGATGGCCAGACAGAATAAAAATGATAAGAATAGCAAAAACGTTTGAACAATCGTAATTTTATATTTCTTTGTAAATTATATCCTTACACTACCAAAATCAGAAGGTACATCTGCGTATTCTGTTAACAAAGACAGAAA